ATGTAAATTATTAATAAAACCCCTTCCCTCCCCTTCTGAACCAAATACATTTTTAATTAAAATACCTCATTTCCCCTCCCCTCCTCTCTTTTGAACCAAACACTTATCTGATTAAAAAAATCTTTCACCTCCCCTCCCCTCCCCTTCCCTTCATTAAAATCTCTCCCCTCCTCTCCCCCTCATTTGAACCAAACAGACCCTTAATGAATCATGTTCAGGTTCAGTGATGTCTTGATGTTTTGATGTTGCTATTTTCTTGATGAATTACCATGAGGGTAACTGTGATAATATATGATAATATGATGAATTAATATGAGTATGACTGTGAGCCCTATGTGATTTGTATATGATTATATGATGATTTCTATGATGATGATTATTATGATTATATGATGACATGATGTATGATGATGATTATGATGAACTATGATGACATGACGTATGATGATGATTATGATGATGAGCTATGATGTTTGATGATGATTAATATGATGAATGATGATGCACATATGATGTTGTTATGAAGATGATTTGTGACGTGTGCATCATGCATTCATGTGCATTCGGACTTCGGTTCAGGACCTCGATCACTTTGGCTTCAATCCCATTATGTGGATGTGAAGTGTTTTGATGTGCTCCGATTCTCAAGTAGAATCGATCTTATTGACGGGGATCTATGGAGGGTTGATGACCCAATATCCATCGTGCTGTGATGATTGGTACCACATGCATTCAGTCTTCTTGCATTTGCATTTATGGGTCCTTTGTATGAATTATGACGTTGTGGCCTTTGAGGCATATTGAAGGATATGAATATGTTGAATATGATTATGATGTCATTTATATGTTGATTTTTATACATTGATTATTGTGAATTGTTTTACTCACTCTTCCTGTTTGAATGTCACCTCCACGTGGGTAACGCCCAGATGATTAGGTTTAGCCGTGAACGCTGTTGAAGATTTTTGAAGTTTTTGAGTTGTTAGCCTTTTGGTTAACTTAGAGGGTCTTGCTCTTATATGTAACATCGGGCTGGGTTCTTTTGAGTTAAACTATATACTGTTGAGTTATTTTGCTTATTTTCCCGTATGAGGAAAACCTTGATTTATACCTTTTGAGTTTCGTTGCTTTGTGCAATTTGATGTATTTTGAGAAAACCCGTTGTACACGGAGCATTGACTTATTTTGAGCTATTGAGAAATGTACACCCTGAGGTGATTTTTATTGAGTTAAATAATTTACTCTGATATTTGTGTTATTTTGCCTTAATAATTGTGGGGTAAAAAAAGGGTGTTACATTAGTGGTATCAGAGTCTGGTTGGTCCGTCCGACCAAGTTGTCTAATGTTAATTGTCCCCTGATATGTGACATGTGCGTAAAAACATTGTCGGTACACGTTTGTTTTCTAACCTTTGTCTGCAGATGTGGGAATGAATCTAGTTGGGGAGAAACTTGTGCTTCTCCAGGATGTTGCAAGTGTGGAGTGGTGGCTCAGTGTGTCGAAGAACGCTCTTATAGTTTGGTAAAGATGGTTTATACCCCATCATGATTTTCGGTTGTCTATTGACAACTTGAGGGACTGATCACCCTTAATCTCTTGTTGATGGTGGACGAAGTCATGTTGGATGGGATAGACGTGTCTTGCAAGCTTAGATGGCGTGAGCAGTGAATTGCTTTGAGTTAAGCTAAGTGCTTACAGATTGTTTTGATAAGTCGGTGCAGGATGGTGCTGAGATGTTTATTTTGATGGAAACTTTGAGTGTTAATGAAACTGGGGAAGTTGGTGGTTTGCCAATTAAGTGTTTATTTTGTTTCAGTACTAAGACTTCTTGTTCAAGCACTTGTGCAACAGAATTATTTGTTTAAGAAACCTTGCTAGATACTTCCTACTCAATCAACTTAGAATGAGACTTCCTTTACTCAAGTACACAAACAAGAGACTTCAATTCTCAAAAAAGAAAGCAAGAGATTTCCTCTAATTTAAACAAATAGTTTAGTAGAAAAGGTGACTACTATACTTTGATACACAATTAGAAGTATAACAGTTGCGCAACAATTACAAAGGTTTTCAACCTTTCTAATATTTTTAAGATAATCTAAGATAAGAAATATTAAGATCTTATGTTATAACAGTTACAAAAATAGCTTAGAGTTATGCATAGACCTTTAATGCATTGTGATGTTGTTACCTTCCTTTGAATCTTCAACTTCCTTTTATAGAGGTAGAGAAAGAGTCGTTGTAGGTTTCAACAACAAAAAACTTAGGGAACAAGGATACCAAGAGATATGTTGGGGAGTTGCATTCGGTCAGAAGTATTATCCACTAAATAAAAGCAATGTCCATAGCACCTTTAGAAAAACTAAGTATTTACCAAAAGGTAGTACAGACTGAAGAGATCAACATCACTATCCTTAAGCCTTGCAAAACCAAATCCTAATTGACTCTGTCCAAAAATATGTCGCTTTGACAAGACTGATCAACTTTAATGCAAAGTACGAATCAGACGCTTCTTAAGCCTTCAGGGTCTGAGTTGTCACCAGAGGCTGAAACAGCATACCAGAGTCTGAACCTTCAGATGCTGATGAACATATTCAAATTTTGATCATCCAGAATCTGAGCAGTATTGCTTTTTCACTTATGCTTTCAACTGAACTAATTCATGATGAATTCTTAGCCTATGATCCTACACACTTAAACAGATGTTAGTATATCCATTTGTTCTCTAAATACTTTGTTATCATCAAAAACCAAGGATTATGAACAATCTTGTTCCAAAAGTAAGCCACGGTTTTATGATATCCTACCAGAATCATAGGTTCACTTTTATCATTAAGCTTATTTCTCTTAGCATCGAGAACATATTTGTAGCAAATAGAGCCAAACACCTTCAGATGACTCACTGACATTCGTTTTTCACTCCAAACTTCTTCTGGAACCTTGTTTTTTAGCTTCTTGGTAAGGCATTTGTTCAGAATATCAATAGTTGTGGTGACAACTTCACCCCATAAGGACTTTGGCAAGTTCTTCTGCTTCATCATGCATCTTGTCATATCCAATATGGTCTTGTTTCTTCTTCTTTTTTTATTCCATTATTTTAAGGTGTGTAAAGAGCAGTTACCTCATGATCAATATCATGTTCTGCACATAACTCTTCAAATATCTTGGATGTGTATTCACCACCTCCATCTATTCGCAGAACCTTGATTTTCTTTTCGCTTTGGTTTTTTACAAGCATTTTGAATCTCTTAAAGATCTCAAATACTCCGTCCTTTTGCTTAATCATATAGATCTAAAGATTTCAACTATACTCATCGATAAATGAGACAAAATACATATTTTCACCAATGGTATGATCCTCAAACAGGCTACATACATCTGAATGTACTACATCTAGTATGCATGAGGATCCTATTGGCTAAGTCGAAACAAAGGACTTTCTGGATTGCTTTCGTACTAAGCAACCTTCAGAGATTTTGTCGGGCATCTTAATACTTGGTATACTAGTTACCATATCTTGAGTAATTAGTTAATTGAGTGACCTAAAATCCATATGTCTAAATCTTAAATACCACAACCAATTTTTCTTATGGTCGATAGTCGTTCTTAGGCATTGTACCTCAGTCGAATTGATCATGGTCTTATATGTCCTATTCTTTGACGGAGGAGATTTTAAGACCATATTATTCTAAGTGTCGAATAGTTCCAAGGCTCCATCTTTCATAACTAATGAGAAAACTTTTTTGATCGGTTGCCCAACACTTAGCTGATTTCACTTCATTCCAGGTACATAAAGGACATCTTTAATCATAGATTTACCTTCGTTACTCCTTTGAATAATTATGTTGTCAGTACCTTTTGCTTCCAACAAGTTATTATATGCAAGCTTGGCCTTGCTCTTATTATACTCTTTGAACTCTACTAGCCACTCTCTTTGACCAGTCATGTGATTCGAACATCCTGCGTCGAGAAACCGGATCTTGGCGTTGACATGCTCATCTGCAACTACATTCATAACCACCATGTCTTTAGAATCAACAAAATTTTGTCGAGCAAAATTTTCTCCCCTATTCTTGCCTTTTGTCACTCCTTTGTCTTTCTTGTACGAACAATTCTTGGCCAGGTGACCCTACTTGTCATGATTATAGCATTTCACACTCCTTTAACCTTTGTCGTTGTCTATATGATAGGAGGTTCTTTCTCCTCTTGTCAACGATTCAGAAGCCCTATCGTCGACCTTATGCTTTTGAGGATTCACCCAAGACTTGTTGCTATGAATCTTGTCTCCTTTTGCCTTTGAGCTTGTTGAAACCATCATTTCTCTTCCGTGTATGAGCCTGTAGTGCTTGTATCAAATTGTGAACACCTTTTCTTTCGAAAATCCTCATCTCATGTGCCTCCAACAAACCTACTAAATCTTCCAATTTCAATGTTTTAAGATTGTTGAATTCTTGAATGGCTACAATAACGTGATTAAAATAAGAGGTCAATGTACGCGTTACCTTCTCAACTATCATCTTATCAGTTAGGGTTTCACCACAACCTTTCATGAGATGAACAAGCTTATGCACCTTCGATACATAGCCTGTAATCTTTTCTTCTTCTCCCATTTGCAGTAATTCATACTGCCTTCGCAATGTCTGCAATTTGACAACTTTAACCTTCTCACTTCCTTCGTAATACTTGATAAGAATATCCCATGCCTCTTTCGCCAACTAAAGATGAGAAATCCGATCAAAGTTCGACGCGTCTACCTCAATTGAATATAAAACATAATTTTACAGTCTTTCTTCTTGGCATCCTCGTTCGCGACTCTCTCAACATCATTTGCGTTCTCAGTAAGCTCGGGAACGCCATTAGTAACCACTTATAGTGTCTCAGTAAGTTCCAAGCTTCTACTTTCTTCTATTACTTCTAGCTAGTTTCGTTGCGCATTTGTTATATCATTACAATTTGATCGTGCTGGAATTTTCGACTATGTATACTTATTTACTCGGATACAATGCTTTTTCAGGCTGGTATTGTAAACAATAGCTTCATATCTTCTATGAAAAAGGTTTGTTGACAATCTCAAATCAACTCCTTGAATTTACTTCACTTTTTCAGCTAGGTTTCTTGTTAAACAAGTATACTAAATATTTCAGGGTGCTCTTCTGGTGAATGTTGCTAGAGGTCGTCTTTTAGACTATGAGGCTGTGGTCGAACACCTTGAATCTGGTCACTTAGGAGGGTTAGGCACCGATGTTGCATGGACGGAGCCATTTGATCCTGACGATCGGATATTGAAATTTAAGAATGTTATCATGACTCCTCATATTGCAGGCGTTACCGAACATTCATATAGATCCATGGCTAAGGTGCGCGTGGATCCGTAAAAAAATAATTTTCCTTGTACTTAAATTGAATTTTTTGCCAGAACAAAAATACTGTGAATCTGATGTTTTTCTTGATTGTTACTTTACTATATAGGTTGTTGGTGATGTGGTTCTTCAACTTCATGATGGGCTTCCTTTGACTGGGATTGAGTTAGTCAATTGAATTAGTGCATTAAGTTCATTAACTTGCTGAACTTTATCATTTTTAATGGTGCAGAAACACTAAGCATTATATATAGAATTGAGATGAGACAATGGTTGTGTATTAAACTTTTATTTTATCTCTATTATAGTACTTTATGTAGCACGAACATCACTATAAAAGGTGTGTCTGATGCTAGTGTTTATCTCTATTAGTGTAATCTCTATAGAACATTTCGAATAAAAGACATGTCTGATGCTGCCGTTTATCTCTATTAGTGTAGTCTCTATAGCACGGACGTCTAATAAAAGGCGTGTTGCTGCTGGCGTTTATCTCTTTTAGTGTAGCCTGTTTATCTCTATTAGTGTAGCCTTTATAACACCAACATCTCTAAAAGATGTGTCGCGATTATCTCTATCATAGTAGTCTCTATAGCACGGACATCTCTAATAAAAGCGAGTCTAATGACTAAAAGTGTCATGCACTTACCTTCCATTAAGATAAAACATGAGTAGTTATACCCTTGTGACAAATAAAATAAAAATGTTAAAACTTATGCTTTCAAAACTAATTACATTCAAGAAAGTATATCCAAACATAGACAAGTTTTTTCAGTCTATTCAAATAACTGACAAACAAAAGGAACAAAGTCCAATCACAAAAACCACAATGTTACTCAACAAGAGAATAATCCACTTCATAGTGTAGATGTTTAAAACACCAATCCAACAAGTAGGGTCTTCGCTTAGGAGGATTACTTAGTCTATCATGGCTAATGTATTCTGGCAATTTGTTATCATTCCCTATAGACACTATGCATTGTGTAGATGAAAGATTGATGGCATGCAAAGAATTGCTTTCATAGCCCCATCTTCCCGGGTTGCTCAACGCGTAGAAGTATTTCCCCGAAGCATAAAATAATGCAATGTCGCCCAGAGTTTTCATCTCGACAAAATTCTTGATTGACAAGTCTATCTCGTACACATTCAATATTTTCCGAGACAAAATATGAATCATTAGAAGTTTTCCGTTGTCACAACTAACCAATCTTAGGCGTGAGGAAGAACTTACCTTGGGAGTACTCTTCAATTCTAAAAAATTTATATTTGCAGAATTCAAGCTGAGTACACCTATCTTCGCCTTGTCGTTTACAACATATATAGTATTATGCAAAACAGCAAAGTCAACAACCTTCCATGGTTTTCCTTTTGTCGAATAAGTAATCCAATCGGAGCTTCGAGATTGATAGACATGTAAACTGTTAGAACTTGTACATAAAGCCACTAATACAAATTCCGTCGAGCCTTTGCCAAAAGCAAGTAAGACATGGTAAGCGAAAATAGAAAACTCGACTTTAAAGGCTGATGTATTGATTTCGATTTTTTTTCTTGTAAATGGATTCATCAGTATAAATGAATTATTCTCGGTTGTCATGATCAAATATCCGCTAGAAGACCCAGAATAGGCGAAATTCCAAAAATGATTGATTGTCTTTGAGTGATAAACTCTTTGATCTTGTATGCTGATGAAGGAAAAAGATTTCTTATCATGAGAAGACTTTTGAAGAAGTAATGGTTCTTGGGATGCCATGAAATTTCTCCAATAAGTTTTATGAAATTCCCTCCAACTCTTGCACACACCAGCGAATCCGAAGACGTCGTCAAAATCTAGTTTCCTGGAGATGATATCGAGCAGGTCCCAAGGAATTTCACAGTTCTCTGCTACCTTCTTCACTTTGTTCCCTTTGAATCACATCGATAAAATGGAAAATTAAGATTAAATCTCAAACAATAGTGGGAATTATTGAAGGGATGAAAACAAACAGGTAAAACCATTTATGCCATTGGATTCCAAACATCCATATCTACATTTCTTACGAACACATCAATACAAGATTCAGTTGTTTAACTTGTAAAAATGTTCATTTATCTGAGAATTGATTCAAGTCACAACTTATTTTTCAGCAGTTTGGCCAATTGAATCAATTCATGCTTATACGGAATTTATTCAAAGATGTCAAATTCAAATTTAAAAACCAGAAGCACATCTTAAACCGACTCACACATGCTTGGAATCGATATCAACCTCTAAAAATGCTTATTTTCGTGAAAGATAAAGTTAAAATTGGGTTTGACCCATTCCAAATCTCATTCAAACAATTTAAACTCGGAATCTGAATCTGTTCTTCATTTGAGACCTAGACACTTGGAAAACATGAACCTAGCTTCTCTCCATCTTCTCTCTCATACCCCTTACTTTCTATTGAAGAGTCTCGCTACTTTGCCCCTAAACCTCAATCGACCTGCCCACTTAACAGTAAACTATAAGTCATACCCTACAAGTGCGAAATGTCGCAACTTAATCACTTAATCATGCAAAAATCCATCAACTTAGTCCATAAGTTAAGAGTTCATTACACTCATTTCTCTCAATACAACAAAGACAGACCAATTTACAGAAACTCAATATAACGAGATAGCTAAGTTTACGGCAGATTAGCGTAAAAAAACTGCATAAATAAATAAACAAAACATCATCAACATATGTCAAGTACTAACCAGTGTGAAGCTGAAGTGGAAGTCTGATTTGATAATTCTTCGGCAAGAAGGCATTGAATTCCAAAATTAAATTTGTATGCCTTTTAAACAGCTCCTTCACTCTATGCACAACAACACTTGTATCGATTCTCTGAGCCTTAAAATCCTTCAAAATTTCTAAAAACTCACCATACTTTTCCGTATTCTTACCTTGAAACACATCTCCCACTCTCTTGAGAAAAGCTAATGCATCTTTTACCTCTAATCGAATCTCATCGTCTCGATATTCCTTTGGCAAGAAGTCATAAAATCCCAAAATCAAAGTTGTATGCCCTTTAAACAGCTCCTTCACTCTATCCACAACAAAACTAGTATTAATTCTCCGAGCCTTGAAATCATTCATCATTTCTATAAACTCATCATATTTTTCCTTATTCTTACCATGAAACACATCTCTTACTCTCTTCAAAAAAGCTAATGCATCTTCTTGTCCTATCTCTAATCGACGACGACATTGTTGTTGTTTATCGTCATAATCTAATGGAAGTTTGATTTCATATTGAGTTGGCACAAAGGTGTTGAATCTCAAAATTAAATCTCTATGGCCTTCAAATAATTGATATACTTTTAATCTAACAACCCTTGTATCAATTCTTTGAGCTTTGTAATCTTTCAAAATTTCTAAAAAAGAATGGTACTTTTCTGTATTATGATCATGAAACTCAACTTTTACTGCTATGACTAACTCTAATGCATCATCAATGGTGCAATTCTTCGTCTTCATGGAAAATAATGAAAATTCAAAATTCAAAATTAGGAAACCCTAATTCAAAATTCAAACTAATGATTTTCTTATATGTATATGAAAAATAAAAAAAAACGAAGCAGTTGAAGAACACAAACAGTGGTTTCTTCTTAGGGTTTGCACTGCCGCCGCCACGAGTGGCTATTGTCGCGTTTTCGCCACCGCCGTCACTGCCACAAACAGTGCTCTTTGTTTTGTGGGAAAAAACGTTACTGCTCTTAAAATTTTCAAGATTAATTATCATTTAATTTTACTATTTAATGAAATTTAAGAGATATTATAAAAGAATTTACAAAATACAGTAATTTGTTAATGATGTGAAAAAAAAATAAAAATTAAAAGAATAAAGAAAAAAATATTATTTTCCTATAATAGAGAAAAAAAACATATTAATAACATATTAATGATTTTTCTTTATATTATCAAACAACTTCTAATTTGATACAATTTATTTTATAATGATTGATTACATTTTTCTTCTTCTGATTGATATAATTAAATCAAATCTCGAGAGTAAACAAATTTACGAAGGATGGTGGGATGCTCTTCCAAACTGTTGCAACAGTTCTAATGAGCTTCAGGAAAATAGATTAACAGAGAACCCACACGTCTGGTGTGATCAAAAGGTTATTGACCGTTACGGTAAAACAACTTAGTTATAGGTGGTTAATTCGATTATTGACCGTTAGTACGGTAAAACAATTTAGTTATAGGTGGTTAATTCGGTTATTGACCGTTATTACGGTAACACAGCTTATCACTGAGTAGTTATAAGTGGTTAATTCGGTTATTGACCCTTAGTACTAACGTGCAAGTGTAGTAGAACTTAAGTATTTGTGTCTTATTCTCAAGTCCCACGTTATTCTTATTATTATTGTCCGGTCATTAAAATTAAATTTTTTATTCTAATATTCAATATCACTTATGCAAATTTAGAGAGAACCAATTAAAAGTAATTTAAAGTTTAAAAGACAAAAAAATAATTTAATTTTTAAAATTGAAGGATTAAAAATTAAAACCCATCTAAATAACAGATCAAAACTACATTTAATCTTTTTATTTTAAATAAAATGGTAAGTTTTTATCTTCTTAGTTTTTTTTTTCTTCTATAAATTTCTATACAAATAATTAATAACAAAAACCAATTCTAATATATAAGTTTTGAAAATTTTATTTTTATTCAAAAATAAAAATCTCTCTAATTTAAAGAAACAGAAGTATTTTATTACGGAATAGGTTTGAAAGATATTTTTGAGAAATTATACCAATTATTTAAATATAATTTATGTTATAACATTTTAAAAATTAAAAATATATTTATCATATTAATGATAAACACTCTTATATCATTTCATATAAATATTTTTTATAAAAAACATCAAAGTAAATTTATATCTTTTAAATGTCACTCTTTCTTTCCCCTCCAGATTCCAAAAACTTAACTAAAATTCATACTTTTCTAAATTTATATCTTTTAAATGTCACTCTTTCTTTCCCCTCCAGATTCCAAAAACTTAATTTCATAATTTACTTTATTATTTAAACTAAAGTAATCTTTATTTTATTTGTATACAGAAGTTTATTACTAGTATCTTATAAACGGTAGAAAAAAATATATGTATTCAAAGAAACACATTATACTGTATTAAGATGGAGATAAAACTATGTACTTCCCAGGTGTTTTGGAGATGGGAAAAGTTTCTGTCCATGTAGTTTGAAGCCTTATACAATCCTTAAATGATGCTAAATTCATCAACTTTCCCTGAACCAACTGAAATTCATCATCACATGCTATGAATGATACTAAATTCATCAAGTTTCCATGAACCAACTGAAATTCATCATCAGATACTATGAATGATACTAAACTCATCAACTTTCCATGAACCAACTGAAATTCATCATCACATACTATGAATGATACTAAATTCATCAACTTTCCATGAACCAACTGAAATTCATCATCACATACTATGATATACTAAATTCATCAATTTTCCATGAGCTAAAAAATTCTCTAGAAGACACTTGAATCTAGTTTCTAGATAGTAGATACATATTCACATGTGTGAGCAATAAAAGTTTGTAGTTTCACAAAATCCACTTGGTTATCTAGCATCTTTCAAAAATCTTGTATAGCTTTTCCAATGAAGCAACCTGTAAAAAATAGAAAGGAGAAAATGAAAACTTGCATCTTTCCTCACTCTACTTCACTGAGATTATACTAAAAATAAATCAGTAACTCTTAGCTTAGTGGTTCATGCCAAGCATAGAAAAAATTAAGAGAGATAATTATAGGCTACATATATGATGTATCTCCAACGAAACATAATGCGGTTAGATTATTTGACGTTTGATATAAAATTTAAGCTGGCTCAAGTTGAAATTTTGAGGTAGAATTGGTAATTATTAATAATATAATTGAATCTGACCTATAATTAAAATTTTATAATCAAACTAAATAGCAAAATCTGCTTTTTTTTTTTTTTTTTTAATAGAATCACACACATTACCTTAACAAATGTTCCATTAGTAGCCATAGACGCAGGTGGTTTGAAAAAAAGTCTCAAGGATGGAAAAAGCACGTGTTGTACTGACCATTCACGCTGGGCCCATGCTGTCTCAGCTTCAGAAAGCAGTTCTTGTTCGACATTGTTGTCGATAACATCATTCTCTGAAAACAAAATTCATTTGCGTCATAACCCAGTAACATCCACCAAAAACTTTAATGGAAGAATAGTCTATTTTACTGCATCTCCCTAATGAGTTCTCAATATAAGTTTTCTTAGATTTTTCCCAATTAAGAACCAACAAACAAACATGGTAAATGAGCATTAAATCACATCATGCAGTATTGTAAGAAAAAAAATATATGCAATATGCTTAGTCAAGGTTGAAAAGCATTGAGAGTGAACAATGTATGGTCTGTTCCTAATTTTTTTGTTTCATTTTGTATACATTATAAGAAAGAATTGATAAATCAAGAGGCAGATGTAATTGTGAAGAGAGTTCTATAAAGTGGAAGCAAAATATTGTGATATAGCTTAAAACAGCTGCAAGTTCGTAAGAACTCAGCAATTATAAATTATAATGTGACACACCACATCCAAAATTTAATAAGAATAGTTCCAAAATTTATCTTCCACAAAACCTAGTTAGGTAGGTTATTATTTTTCTCTACATTGAGTGTACGTATTTCAATGATAATGATAAGTGTGGATATATACGCACATGTATTAGTGCGGGTGATCTAGAAAGTAACATGCATGAAGTCCATACCAGTATTATCACAGATATTCTCGAGGGAACAACCGTCGAACAGTTTCCTCTTCTTGTAGAAAAGCATTCCCTCGCCAGATGGATTGGGCAACAACGGTGGATGCATAGCATAGAAACTTCCTAGAGCAGCTGAGACTGCCTGAATGCAGTTCCTTTCATCTTCCCAATCAACCTATCATCAAAATGCATACGATGGTTTTCAACATGTAAAGAAAAGAAGTGATTGGAAAACACTGCATGTTCAAAATCAGCAAAGGGCGTGCACTTAAATGTTTAGTTGGCAAAAACTTTAATGGAATAACATCTATATTAAAAAGATGTTTTCTCCCAAAAAGTGTAATCAAGATGCAGAGACAGTGTGCAAATAGTATGACAGTATTTATCATTTTGGAGTATAACTGAACTCAAGCAACAAATAAATAGCTGATAATATTATGATATTACCAATGAGTCAGACATTTACATGAGGAAAACAAATTTGCAGAGACTTCTCCATAAACAGATTAAGAGAAGGAGAATAGAGTTTTATGACTAACATCATTGCCTAAACTAAGCACAAACTCAGGGATGCGATCCATGTCAGGAGTATACTGATCAAGTATCACAGGAAGTCTACAGATATTTCCATGATCATCAATATTAATGCTGAAATACTCCTCCAGCATTGCAGCCTTTTGTTTCAGCATATCTGTGTTCATCTGGAAAATAGGAAAAGAGATGCCCATAAATATGCATAAAGGAAGATACATAAAGAAAGTATCAAATGAAAATATGCATGTCCAAGATGTTAAATTTCCAACATTGACATTAGCAATCTAATTGCATTAACTAGTCCACTATTAAAATTAAAATTCTAGAGGAGCCAGTAATCATCTGAAGATAGATGTAAAATAAATTTTGTATAATGAGACCAACATAATTAAAAGCAGTTGGTGAGACAGTTTGAGGTGCATCAGGTTTTCATATGAGGTGTGGGTTGAAGCACCCCATTTCTGAGGTGATATGAAAAAGCATTTGACATTCCAACTATTAACTACCAGTTGTGCAGTGTTCATTTGATATCCATTGATCCTAAGTTATTACATACTTTTTGACCAGTAAAGGACCTAATTTCTCAATGGGAAACACTGGAGCTAGAACTCTGCAAAATTTCAAGGGTCTGCAAACATCTCAATCACCCAAAGGCCCTAAATCTCTCAAACAATGTCCTTTCTTCTATAATCCATTTAGCTTATTTTATATGCATCACACACAGCCTAACCTGACTAACTAAATGAATAAGGGTTCATTTATCACTATCCTAAACTACAGGGTAAACAAAAGCTACAATTACAGGAGATATATATTATTTATAAAATTATGTTAGAAGAATCAAATCCTAATATTTATTAATAGGATAAGAATTAGCAAATCATATCAATCAACATATATTGTATTTATTCTGTATGCTATTATAAATAGAAGTGAGTATAGTCTGATTTAGATACACGAATCAAACTCAACATGGTAGCAGAGCTGGTTTTGATCAAGTGACTCATGGGGTTCACCGTAGCAGCTTCCGGCGGCAAGTTGCAGCCACCAGCAGCTACCAAAAAAGTTTTCCGGCAAGTTTCCATATTTTTTTGGCGCTTCTGCATCTCTTTCCTGTTAGCCTCCAAACAGTCAATTACTTCTTTACAACGACCCTTTTCAGGTTTTTCATTTCCCAACGACACATCTTTTCTCAAGTGGACCTTTCTCCAGCGTTATCACCAGCCACCACCATGATCATACTGTTGTCGTCAATCCAGTCACCTGAACTACATCATCATCATTGCAGCCACGTGCCGGCCAGCTCTCTGCTGATGTCATCCTTTTGGCATGTCTTCAAATTCTGCCGTGCCATCCTTTTGACATGTCCTCAAATTCTATGCCGTGCCATCCTTTCTGCTGTTTAGAACTTCTTCGGCAGATATTCACTCTCAGCCGGTCAACATTTCTGTCCTGCTTATCTCAATGTTCACTGTGCTTCATCCAGTTATTCTCTTTGTCATCGGAGTGTTTCTCCTCGCATCCAATTGTGATTCAACCAGCTGCACCTTCCTTGATGAGACTCAATTCCGAAAACCATGGTGGTTAAAATCCCGATTCAAATTGTCTAAATCCCACAATTTTGTGATTATGCTTACCTGCAACGATTAAGAGTATACACATAATCTAACTTTGGTGGAACTGGGTTGAATCACCCGTTATTTATTGTATTGTATAACTTTATAACCTCTCTTGTTTGAGACTTATGAGTTTGTATGACTTCACCCAAAATCGGAATGGGAAAGTAAAATCGTAAATCTTGGAAATGTAATACTACAGGGGCATGACACGGCCACTTCTTAAAGAATTAAATATAGTATTAACATCTTGGTAGTTGTGTCATCAAATCTATAGAAGTCTAAAAAAATGTTATTTTCAACACAACTTTCTTTTTTTGATTCCTAACAAGTGCCCTTAACATGACCCTATTATTATTAGAATTAGAATTAGTAAATCATATCAATTAGCATTTATTGTAGTATTCGATATGCTATTATAAATGGAGATGAGTGTAGCCTAAGTTGGACACACAGAATTACGATTTCAACAAATTAGAAGTAATAAAAAACCAAAGTGAGATTACTTCTGCAATCTTCTCTTTAAATGTGTCATCGTCATTACTTTCTGAATCTAAATCCTCTTCCTTCAGTGCCAATATAATCAAGTCTTTCACGGGGGCTGGATCACTAAGCTGGATGGCATTGAAATGACCAAAACGGCTCAAAACTTGCTGATACATAAGCTCTTTGCTGCAAATAAAATAAGGACAGACTGACAATGATCAATTTTCAAAAGCAATTAGATAGATGGCAAAAGATATTGTATGTCACAAACATGCTCCATCATATAAGAGCTCAATGAGTCTGGAGTCTGAATACTGACAGGCCTGTTAACCTCGTTAACTTGCAAATTAATAACAAAGACTGTCAATAACAGATTAAATTAACAAAAGCAAAAATGTCTACCTCAAGTTTACAACATTTGCAAGATAAAGATGAGTTTTATGCTGAAGCAAAGCAAAAACATCATCTGCCATTCCAACATATGTGCAGTGCTTTACAATGTCCAACATTCCTACAAAGTAGATGTTTGTTAATAATTTCTTCCAAATCAAACTACATCACAGAACAGAGTTGGCGCAGTGGAAGGAGAGATTTGACCATGAACCAGAAAATATTTGACTCAGATTACTCACAAACAATAACACCTCAAAGGTTTTAAATAGAATGCATAATAATATGGAAACTAGTAGTAAACTAACATAAAAATATAAAAAAGGAAACTATTTTCAGAACATAAGAAAATACCTTATAATATCTTGGTTTTTATATTAGAGCTTCTTAGTCTATCTCTTAGGATTAATCTTAGAGTATCTCTTATGATTATTTTCCATATTTCTTAATTAATATCCCAATGAATAGGGGTCGGCGCTTAGTCTTTTGTATCAAACTAGTATTAAATCGTTACCAATAATATTACATCATCATATTCAAAGTTTTGTTATAAAACCCGTAACTTCAACAACTATGAAACTAACTAACTCGAAACATCAAAAGAGAACTCTTAGAATTTAGTTAAGCTCTAACTCAAACCTACAAAACCGGTTTGTATGGTGAGGGATGCCTCCCACTTCTAAACTCCTATTCAAGTCATATCTCATCCAATTTGGGACTCTTAACAAGAACCAAAACCGAAACTAATTATAGGAAACTAGGAAAAGGATTGTCTAATAACAGAGTAGAGATTAATGGTCACATGCTGCATCAATAGTCATCATTATGATTAATCTGGAAGCATACCAGGGTCATAGGTCTTATTGATCTCTTCAAGAAGCTCTTCTACGCTAGTGAGTTCTATAGAATCTTTTAGACTCCTTCTTTGTCTAACTGAGGACCTGGCAATGTACAAATAAAATTACAAATTCATACATTCCAATAATTACATAGGACTCCAATATTTACGTATTACTAGCGCAATTGAGTGCACGAAATAAAACATGAATACAGTCAAATAATAATTATTTATCACAAATATTTAGAAATAACCAACTAATTCTAGAAGGATGTCACTATACATGAGTCCCAGCATAAGTCTACTAGTTAAACATCAAATGTAACCCAATCTCCCAAATAAGGGGAAGAAATTAGTTTAATAATTTAGTTGTTCTTTTAGTTAAATTGTACAGTTGAATATAGACTGTTTACTTTATTAGCTCATTGGGCTAGGAGTTCATTAGAATCAATTTACTAATCAATAGATTGATTGACAGACTATACGGTTGTCTTTCCTAGCATACGCAAGCCTGTACTCTGTAAATATTCATGAGATATATTGAATGAAGCAATTCAGATTTCTGACCGTTTTCAATTCTTCTGTATTGTACCTCTTCCATTTCTATTTTTGTCTAAATGGTTTGTTTGCTTCAAGTTTTTATAGTTTGTATAACTTGTAGATTCTATGCTTAAGAATGACAATAATTGCATGGATCAGTATAAAAAAAATGTTGAGATGCATAAACTGTGTGAAGAGCACAAGAAGTTTCAATAGCATATAATAAAAATAAAAGGGCATAGAGAAACTTAAACATGCTGAAAGAATAAAAGTGCAATTTGTGCATACAAAAATCAATTTAAAAATGAATATTATCTTGTTAGATACAAAAATGTACAAGAAAAAAATCACAGTCACCTTACTGCACTCAACGTAACATTCTTTTCTAGTTGTCCACTAGGCCTAACTTGCATATAGGCGTGTAATCTTCCTGCAGGATCTAATGAATCTGTTCTAATGAATTTATTCACTGGCACTTTCGGTGCTCTTGAGCCTATCATCGATAAAAGATGAAACACATTATGAGTATAAACCAAAAACAAACATAGGGTGTGCAATACAGGAACATTTCCCATACCCGGTGGGGTAGGGCTGAGATTATCCTCCTTGCTCTTATTAATATGAGAAATAGAAGATTGTCCAGCTGTCTGCCACAAGTACGAGACAATACACAGAAAATACAGGTACTACGTAAGACTCTGATTTAATAAAACATGAAGAAAAAAAGCTGAATCTGCATTCATGTTTACCAGGAATTTGTTAATAATTAAAAATGGAGATATTTTAGAAATTTAAAAACATGATCCAAGATATATTAGACGGGATTTGAGAAGGAATACATAATATTGTGAAGCAAACCATTTCAAGTAAAACTTTTCGTAAAGTTTGATTTCATTATAAAGAGAGGAATTAACCTATTTATTAGTGAAATAAGGAAGTTTTAGATACAGCAGTGTTCTAAATGATCACGCCTAGGAATTGGCATATATTCTTGAATAACCATATCTTGACTTGACTAATTATATTGCTATGGTGCAGGCTGCAATAGTGAAGTTGAAAATGGTTTTGCATTCTAATCATTATCAAGGCTTCTAAAAAGAGACTATGCTGTACAGCCATGGTGTTGAATAGAGTAAGCTCTAGTGATGAAAATTTGGTGAAAGCAAGATCATGGAAATTGTAAAAGTTGATTTGCAAACAGTTCAAGGAAAAGTTCACTCGCTGCTAGTTTATAAAAAAAAAAAATTTTGCACCTATCTTTTCTATCCATGTATTCAGTTGATGAAGGAAAAAGAAATATATCAAAATCAGCAACTATTTCTAACTATATAATAAAAAATAGAAAGCGTCGAGTATTATGGTGTAAACATACTTGATCTTGAAATGTCCGTGCTTCATTGGAACTTCTCAATGTTGATTCAATCACCGATTGTATCTTATCAATGATAACTTCCTGATTTAAGAGGCTCACCTATATGCAAACAAACACAATGTTTTCCGTAACAGAGAAGAAATAACTAATAAATGTCGTGCTTACAATTTTAACAAATGCTTAAACTCAATGCTAGTTACATAGTAGGGTAACATGGTATCAACCCCTTGGTAATAGAACTTTTATTCACACAATTTTTTAAATAAGATTGTTCCCTAGCTTGTTCAACAACTATCACTCTAGATTATGTCTTTGTCCAACCTATAAAAAGTCAAATTTCATAACAAGGTAAAGTGGGACAGTGGATGCTTTAGGAAAAAAAATGGGCCTATTTATTGTCTACACTTAGGGTTCTTGCAAGAGAGGATGTTTGATATAAACCCATTCATGAGCCTTTGTATAACAGACTAAGCTCTTGGGAGAGTTGGTTCATGACATGATATATCAGAAAACAAAGACTACCTAAAGCTTTATTCATTGGCTTGCAACATAAACAAACGAAAAAGAAAGTAAAAAAGAAATGGTTAACCAACTTGACAACAACACTGCCAACAGTATATTCTGTAAAATAAAGTATGAAGTATAGAAGACTTTTCAGATCAACATCGTTAAAACTAAAGGACATTGTCGGCTACATAGAACTTTGTTTGGGTAAGAAAGTGATACATAAATAATTATGACAAATAAAGAATGTGGACTATACACAATCATATTCTTGATTACGCCCGTACCTCTCTCTTTGTTGGATGCACATTGACATCAATATTCTCAGGTGGTAAAACAATTGAAATATATATAAAAGGCTTAGATGCTTTAGGCAGTGTTGCTGCATAAACAATTTCTATAGCTCGCTTCAACGCAGACCACTCAACCAATCTATCTGAAGAAAATAGAGAATAATACTTTCATGAGAATGTGTAAGCAATTAGTCATTAGCTTTCAGATTTCAGATTAAATATTAAATATTCTTCAATGAAAAAATCCAAGTAAATAAAATTAAGTACTTGAGCAGAATAGCTCGCTTTGATGTTTTATATAGCTAAAGTATACCATTGATGAAAAGCACCATAGTGATTTTCTTGGCAGCATAGTTAGCATTAGACACGTAACCATTCATCTCAAAAACTGAAGAAGACGGATCATTGTCTGAAGCTTCAATATCAACCAGATTGCGAGCAGCTGAGACCCCATAAACTGTTCTGATGGAATCAAGCCTTGAAGATGTGGCCATGGTGTGAACATCTGCTTTAACAGCTCCGTGCTGATAGTAACAGTAGTCGCAAATGGTCAATGGAAATTAATTAACATACATAACTCACAGCACATGCGGCCGTGGTAAATAAGCTTAGTTTTATCGTTCAAGATACAAAAACCAACCTTTCTGCAAGAGAAACTGACATTAGTATGATGAATCGCAAACCGACTGACAACATCTACTATCTTTGAGTAATCATCCGAAGAATTTTGTAGTGTCTTCTTCCTTGCGGACATGTTATAGAATAGATTCTCAACCTGATAGCACAAGCGCAAGTAGGCACGAGAACCTCAATCATTTAAATTCAAAATTTTAATTCCAAATTGAGTGAATCACTAAATTAATCCCTGACATTGTAAAAGTCAAACAATTCTCAGATCTTAACAAAACTTCAAAAAGATCCTTAAAATGAAAATTTTCTCGATCACATTATCAGGAACTGAACTGACTAATCTAAAAGAACAAATGTGATCGAGATTTGTAAATTCAAGAACCAAATTGCTCGCCACCTAGAATTGACGATTAATCTTATTTCAATTGCTTACATATAAGAGCATAAGCTCTTAAGTACAGCTTAGTTCCAAAAAAGTCCTTGCATTTCTATCAATTAGTAATCAACATACAATATCCTAATAAACTTCTACTTTGCTTCATTATATAGAAATAGACCATTAATTAAAATCAAACATTAATGACAATATATTATATAAAGATAATATAGTATACCATTATTTGAGTTCCTTTTACAGCAGCACAGGGTCTAGGTTCATGCTCCATGACACCATCTCTATAGGATACTCTAAACCATAGTAAACAAAACTAAAATCATTAATCAATACTCAATATCATCATAATCAAACACATTATTCGAGCTTAATCAAAACAGCTTATGACTTTTTCATAAATTTTTTTAAACTTATTTTTATAAATTCTTCAAGATAGCTAATGGAAAGTGGAAACAACTTATAACATGTATAAAAACAATTTAAATTCATTTAATCTTTTGTCATAAAAATAGCTTATGTAAACTTATTCATAGGCGTCTATTTTGATAAGCACTTGTACTATAAGCTGCAAATAAGTTGTTTATCCAACCAGGTCCTTTATCTATTGACCTAAGTACATGTGTGAGACTATTTATAAGAGCTTATGAAAACAACTTATGGTACTTGCAAATGCTGTTTCCAGCTTATTTTCAAAAGCTCTCCCTTATAATCTATATGAAACCAACTTATAACTGTTATAGAAGCCGTTTCGATTCCATTATATCTATTATAGAAATAACTTATACTTAAGCATAAGTGATTATGTTTTTAAGCGCTTAATTTAATTGTTCATCCAAACAATGTCTTATTATACATGATTGAAAGAGAGAATAACCTGTAACCATGCAATTGACCTTTGGTAATGGTAGTAACGGTTACATGAGCAACATAGGTCATACTAGCGAGGGCTTCTCCCCTAAACCCCATCGACTTGATGCTCTGCAAGTCCTCAAACGCAGACAACTTGGAGGTCGTGTGTCGCTCGCATAATATCGGAAGATCCTCATATCGGATGCCGTGACCGTCGTCGGAGACTTGGATGAGTTTGAGGCCGCCGTCTTTGATGGAAAGGTTTATGGAAGTGGATCCGGCGTCAAGGCTGTTCTCGACGAGCTCCTTGACTGCGGAGACGGGACGCTGAATGACCTCGCCGGCAGCGATTCTGTTAACCACCGACTCACTGAGTCGCTGGATTTTGGGTTGCTCTTCCATCTCCTCCGTCATTCGTACAGACAGGAAATGAAATTAGTTCGCGCGAGTGAGAGTGTAGCTGGCGGGAGGGAATCCATATCAATTCATAATATATATATATATATATATATATATATATATATATATATATATATATATATATATATATATATATATATATATATATATATATATATATATATATATATATATATATATATATATATATATATATGCGGCAAAGAAGAGCTTTCGATGCGACGGCAAAACGGGATGTACGTGTAAAGTTAGCACTTGAACGTCAGTATGTGAGAAAATAAAGAGTATTCAAATTGTATTTGAAATTGGGACATTCCCTATATATATATATATATATATATATATATATATATATATATATATATATATATATATATATATATATATATATATATATATATATATGGGAGAGGAATAGCGGCTTCGCTATCATTTAACCGTGGAATGCGAAGGACTATTGGATGTTCATGAGGTGCAGATCCCCTATAACAAGGTGTAGGATAGTCATATGGTAAGGAGAAGATTCTGAAAACATAAATGTGTAGCTAGCTAAGGGGTTTTGGCCTAAGACAGACTATCTTAGGGCAGTTAGTTTAAGGGGATTATGGTCGGCCCATAATAATTGTCCCCCCGAGTCTTTATACTTGAGTAGCAAGGAGATGGTTTGGAGAATTTCACCTTTAGTTATCGATCACCCTTACTTCGTGCTTTTACTATTCGAAACATCAAAAATATATTTGTAGGCGTCATTATTAACATTCTTTAAAACTGAAACACTTGATTGTTACATGTGAGAGATGCGATCGTTGATATGATATCTTTCTTTTCGTATTGCCAAAGTATAAATATCGGAAGAGCTAGAGTCATTTTCCCTTAGAATTTTCTTCTCTCCCCTTACTTGAGCAGAAATCTCTTTCCCTTTTGACATTTTGTCCTCCTATACTTGAGAAATTTAACGCTATATGACCGAAAAATCACAAAAGAACGTGAAAGGAAACCAGACGAACCCAACATCCCTTTGGGAAGGTTCTATATATTCTTCCATTGTGTCTGCTTTTACCAGGGAGGGTAGCCTAGATAAAAATTATTTTTTTAAAGTAGGGGAACCAATGCATTGGGGTTCCACCGCCCCTATTGAGGACAATGGAATATGTAGTGATTTCAGTGGTTGCACCATTTCTTTTTTCGAGTGTCTTTTCTCAGTCCTGAGTATTTCCTTACCCTTTATTGCTTTTGAGATAGTTTTTTTAACTACTTAATGGTGGCTCTTTCACAACTTCACCCATTGAGTTAGGCGTACACAAGGGCTTACCAATACTAGAGTGAATATCTGAAAGGGAACCCTTCTGTCACCTTATTCTTTAATTTCTTTCACTATCACTGTGGTATTGTGGCTCAGCCGAGATAACAGGAGTTAGTTTCCTTGGTGCCGATGATACGGGTCTTTGAAGACTTTCCTGAGTTGTCGCCCTTTGTGGACTAGTTCTTCTTGGTTAATCCCATTTATCCCTTGGTTCATGCGACCATTTATGATGCCAAGCCAGGGTTAAATGCAAGTCTTTGTCTCCCCATTGTTGGTCGGCGAAACATTTCCTCATGGAGAACGACACCTATGTTTATAAAGAGGAAGATTTTTTGGATGAGAACTCGTATCAAAAAGAAGATACTAGTATAATTTGTCAACAACCTGAGTTTTCTTGGGGGTAGAGCCCCTTTGGCCGAGGCCGATAAGAAACATTTGAAACGTATGATAAATGTTTCATTGCTGATAGTGGCTCGCTCTCGTGAGGATCGTCGAATTGTCTTTGGTAAGTTTGAAATTTCCTCCATTCTTTTGATGTTGGTTTGTCCCTTTTTTTGGGTGCTTGTCTGGATAACAATCATGTTTTTGTATGTGAATGATGAAATGGGGGTCCGACTCTTGAAGCAGGGAATACAATCACTCGACACTTTAGTAGATTCTTTGTTTCCTCTAGAATCCCCTCGAAATGTTGCTTTATTGCCTGCCCCTCAAGGTTTGCAAATGGATCTTGAATTGGTAGCAATCCTTCTCGTGAGCGCCAAGATTCATTATATGATCACTATTGGTTGTTTCTTTGCCAATCTTTCTAGGAAGACTATGGGGGAAAAGCTGAATAGTCTAGCGTGGTCTTTTAGGAGAGCTTCTGTTGCTCTAACTCTAGGCGGGTCTGGTTACTGGGAAGCTCTTTAGATGGACCGGACATGCAACAAGAAGCATCGATTGGGGAGAATTGTCAACACCTTAGTTATTCAACGAGATACATATTTAAGAGAGTTGTACAAGGTTTCCACCTTTTTGAAATAGGCAAACAAGTTTCTGACTTGTTCAATTTCTTTGGTACTGCGAGCAATCAGGTGATTCACCTCGCGAGAATGGTGGAGATTGGAGAGGAAGACAGAGGCTCTTGATTCTTCCCTAAAGGAGTTGGAGTTCTTGCACACTCAAAGCGCTTCTCTAACTCAAAAGTTGAAAAAATACACTTCTACGAGCCTTTGGGCGGTTACAAAATCTTTTGAGAATGCGTTGCAGCAGGTGGAGTATTTCCACCGTCCACTGGCTACTTCGAGGGAGTAGATTTGGAAGGGTCAAATATTTCAAGATGGGAGGATCATCTCTCTTCTTGAGTAAGTTGATGTATCCCATCGCCTTCTTTTTTTGTAAGGCTATGTCGACCTTTTACGTATCAGCTTGTAAACAATACTTATATCATTACCTTGTGCTTTTGGTTTCATGTTCTGCTCCTCTCAATCGTAATTCTTAACTGATTGAGAGATGAGGATCATCAGAGTTTAATTTTGATCCTTGCAGTTTATAGAATTTTTTTGCTACAAAAGAGCGACAAACAATATTTGCTTAAAGTGTAAATAACCTAAGGTTCTTCATGGGCCATGTATTGTTGTTTGTTTACACTCTCTTTTGAATGAAAGAATGTTTAGTATATGTTTGGTAGGGCGTTGGTTATGTTCAAGGAAATGACATTTTGGTAAAAAGTTGTACTATCCAAGCAAAAGATACATATAATAGCTTTTCCAAAACCAAATCCTTGATAAATATAATACTTGACTAAACATTCACTTAGTCAGCTCGTGCAGGAATTTAATTAATCATATAGTATTTTTTGTTCTATTACTTTCATAACACTCTTTTCTCCTTACCATATAATGTAAATAAAATGAAAGTATAACATTGTATTGGTAACTAAAAAATGTAATTAATTTATTTCCCAAATCAATTTGACCTTTAGTCCAAAATTCGATATTCTCTATGCATTGATTTTGTGGGTACAGTAGTTTCACCTTGCTTAGCATATATACTTTACTATTAAAATTTTACATCAAATAGTTTTTTTTTTTTAATAATGAAAAATAGATTGTAATTTCCATACAAGACATTTCATTTAGAAAAAATTGTGAGTGCATTATGCATCTCTCATTACTTTATATTTTTGTTTATATTTTTGTTTATGTCATTAAATATCAGTGTTCGTGAATCATGATGATTTAATGCTTCAGACAATTTGTATACATTATTTGATTACGGAGTGTGAAGGAGATATATAATCTAATAAATATTTTTTGTAGGGATTTCTTGACTCTTAAGAATTGATTATTTTTTTTAAAATAATGTTGAGTGAATTGCAAAGATACTAACTGTTATGATTACAAACGATGCCTTTTAACAAATAAAGATTGAGAAAACGGTGTTCTTATGTGAACAATGAAACAGTTAGAACAAAGAGAGAAATAAGAAAGAATGAAGAAGAAAGTAGGAGAATAAGGATTATTGGGCAACTGTTTACTATTCACTTTCTCATTAGGGTTTACAAATGATTACAAATAAATAACGCATTTTGGCTTCACTCAACAACTTGAGTGATCTAGCCTATTTATAGACCAACTAACTAACTTACAAAACAAACAAACTAAACAATTGGATCCTTAACACAAGACTCAATTCTACAATACATATTAGACTAACTTACAAAACAAGCTAACTAAGAAGTATGTCATAGCACCAAGGTCACTCATTTCAAATTCCTCCATAAGCTCTTGCTTGAACTTTGAAATGTATGATTCACAACTTCGGTAATCAACAAATCGTCCACATATAGACAAAGAATGATCACCCCTTCGCTAGCACCCGTTTTCACATACACCCCATGCTCGGACACACATTTCTTGAAACCAATATTGTTAAGAAAACCATCTATGCGTTTGTTCCAAGATCTTGGAGCTTGTTCCAAACCATAGAGTGCTTCCTCAACTTGTAGACTCTTGTCTCTTGGTCTTGAACAACAAAACCCGGTGGTTGTCCCACATACACCTCTTCATTCAATGGACCGTTCAAAAATTCTGATTTGACGTCCATTTGATATAACGGGCAGCTGTTGGTATTTGCAATCGCAACAATTAACCAGATGGTTTCATGTCTTGCAACTGGTGTGAATACCTCATCAAAATCAATGCCTTCCTTTTGCAAAAATCCCTTTGCCACTGATCGAGCCTATGCTTGATTATCTCACCTTTCGAATTTGCTTTCACCTTGAAGACCCATTTCACACCAATTGCCTTTTTACCTTTCGGTAAATCGACCAACATCAAAGTATTGTTTTTCTCAATTGATTCTAGCTCATCCTCCATTGCACTCATCCATTTTGGATCGCTTAATGCCTCCTCTGTATTCATCGGTTTGGATTCGGCTATTAAAGCGAAATGGATGAGATCACCATCATGATTGATCTCGCCATCACGGAATACCTCACAATCTCGGAGTCTTTGAGGCACACATCTTTGCCTCGTTGGTCGTCTATTCGTTTCACCATCCTCCGTTGCGAATGGTTGCTGTCCAGGATCATTAATATGCTGGAAATTCAAATTTCCTCCCAGGAAATCGATTTCTGGGCCTGAATTTTGACTTCCAGCAGCACCAGGGGGCCCTGTCACGGGCTGGAAATCGATTACCTCATTCGGTA